CCGCTCCCGCAGATTCCACCAAAGGCAAGGGACCGATCTCTTGGAGAAGTTTGGCCGTCATTGGAGCACTTGGAGTCGGTGGCGTGGGCTTTATGCTGTACGTGAAGAGCGAGAAGGATGAGGCGAGAATGAAGGAGCGTCAGCGGCAGTTGGGAAAGGCGGCCATTGGTGGCAGTTGGGAATTAGTGGATTCGCAGGGAGCGGTTCGCAAATCTGAGGACTTTTTGGGCAAGTGGCTGCTCATCTATTTTGGCTTTACTCACTGTCCGGATATTTGTCCCGATGAGCTGGAGAAGATGGCCGCCGTGGTAGATGAAGTTGGTAAGTAAAGCCTGAGTATATCTTCCATACAAAAAAGAACCCATGATTTTCAAATCCTCACAGAAAAGTCCCCGCAAACTCCAGCAGTGCAGCCCATCTTCATCACAGTTGACCCAGAACGTGATTCCAAAGAGGTGGTGGCCAAATACGTGAAAGAGTTTTCCCCAAAACTGCTGGGACTCACCGGAACCGTCGAACAGATCCGCAAGGTGTGCAAGGCCTTTAGGGTTTATTTCAGCGCTGGACCCCGGGACAAGGACAACGATTATATCGTGGATCACACCATTATTATGTACCTGGTCAACCCAGATGGCGAGTTTGTCGATTACTACGGCCAAAGTCGGGACAAGGACCAGTGTGTGGCCTCCATTTTGGTGAACATAGCCAAGTGGAATTCAATGAACAAAAAGGGATGGTTCAGCTAGGCTGGCTAAGCTAAACAAATGTTGCTTCGTTGTATTTACTTAATGTATGGCATAAAATATGGTTTTTACTTGATGTATATCAAGTTTTACATCCAAATTTTAGTTTATATTGCATATTATTGGCTATACTTTAATTCTTAGAATGTTAAAATGTCTAAATTTTAAAATAAACTTCTTCGCCGGTAGGGATGTCGTGATATTAAAAAATATCGTATCGATATTCAGAAAAATATCGATATATTGATATTTTGATATATTATCAACAACCCTAATTTAGAGTCACAAAATATTTCAAGTAAAATTCTTGTTAAGAAATTGATTACCCTACACTGAAAGGGATATACATTTTTATGTTTATTCGTATACAAAGTGCTACTAAATTAATCTATTATTTTGTCAAAATTATATTAGTGAGTGAAAAGTGAGGTCTTTAAAGTGAGTAGTAAAAATTGTCTTTAATAAAGCCAGAAGAATGTTTATCTTACTGTCGGAACACATAGTTATTGCCGCTTTTAATATTTGTTTAGGAAACATATTTTTTTGTAACCCTATAATTCCCAACTAGTTCTAGTGGAGACTGTAAGGCATGTCTTCTAATTTAGAGTCAGAAAATATTTCAAGTAATCTCTTACCGGTCGAGCAGTGAGTGTAGTGTATGTGTAGTGTATGTGTATGTGTAGTGTATCTGTATGTGTAGTGTATGTGTTTTTAAGTGTGATTACTTGCAAGATCACATTGGCATCCCTCTTGAACAAATAACCAGGCAAATTTTATTCATACAAGAGTTTGAAATGTTATAATATTTATTTTAAAATATTTATTCATAAAAAATATTTAGAATACAATATAAAATTCTTGTTAAGAAATTGATTACCCTACACTGAAAGGGATATATATTTTTATGTTTATTCGTATACAAAGTGCTAAAAAATTAATCTCGAGCTGTAAGTAATTAAATAATAATCTATTATTTTGTCATAATGATATAAGTGAGTGAAATAGTGAGGTCTTTAAAGTGAGTAGTAAAAAATGTCTTAAATAAAGCCTGAAGGATGTTTAACTTACTGTCGGAACACATAGTCATTGCCGCTTTTAATATTTGTTTAGGAAACATATTTTCTTGTAGCCCTGTAATTCCCAACTAGTTCAAGTGAAGACTGTAAGGCATGTTTTCTAATTTAGAGTAGGAATGTCGTGATTTTAAAAAAATATCGTATCGATGATATTTTTTTTATCAAAAAAATTACGATAATATTTAAAATATAAAAAAAAAATCGATTATTTGATATTTTCGATATTTTTTTTTTCAAATAAAATTTGTTTTTTCCCCACAATAAAAATATAAAAGTTTCTTATTAACTTCATGTTTGTTATTTAACTGGATATTCAATATCTAATACGGATATTAATACAGATTGTGTTAATATAAATTAATGCTACTTATTTCCAATACTTCGAGTTAAGTGATTTTATGAAGACTCGTTGTGTTATATGTGTGTCAGTCATTCGCCTTCGTGCGTCACAGACTACACACTTTATACCGGACGGATCAGGTACCTACCTTATGGTCATTTTAACACGAGCACTTTTACCCGGTATCCCTTTAAAAATCAGGGTGACCGAAGGGAAAAAATATCGATATATTGATATTTTGATATATTATCAACAACCCTAGGCCACGGTCACACTGCTCTTTTGGCGTGTAGTGCTGCGTGGATGTTGTTGCAAAAATATTAGTTTTCTCGCAACAAATACAAAATATAATACAAAATGGTGCGTGTTCACTAAAGGATTACACAGTTTGCCGTATTCCGGAGGGGTTCCTCTAGAATTTACCCGAAATTGCAACTTAATTGAATGTCGTGTGATATTCCGGGACAAACATAACCTTAAAAGCGGCCTTAATTGTTTCTAAAAATCCGTATTATTCACTCTTTTATAGCGTCCGTTGATGCTGCAAGGCCACGAGCGTTCCATAACGCAAATCAAGTACAACCGCGAGGGCGACCTGCTGTTCTCCTGCTCGAAGGATCAGAAGCCTAATGTGTGGTACTCGCTGAACGGAGAACGTTTGGGCACCTACGATGGTCACCAGGGCGCGGTTTGGTGTCTGGACGTGGACTGGGAGAGTCGTAAGCTCATCACCGGCGCCGGTGACATGACCACCAAGATCTGGGACGTCGAGTACGGCACCGTTATCGCCTCCATTCCGACAAAGTCGTCGGTGCGTACCAGCAATTTCAGCTTTTCGGGCAACCAGGCAGCCTACTCAACGGACAAAGCGATGGGACAAAGCTGTGAGCTGTTCCTCATCGATGTCCGCAACGCCGATTCGTCGTTGTCGGAGCAGGAACCCACGCTCCGTATCCCGATGACCGAGTCCAAAATTACTTCGATGTTGTGGGGTCCACTGGATGAGACCATCATCACAGGTGGGTATTCCCCTGATAATCTATTATGAAAGCCATATAAAACCATTGTTTTCAGGTCACGATAATGGCAACATTGCCATCTGGGACATCCGTAAGGGTCAGAAGGTGGTTGACTCTGGCACGGATCACAGCGCTGGTATCAACGACATGCAGTTGAGCAAGGATGGGACCATGTTTGTCACCGCCTCTAAGGACACCACCGCGAAATTGTTTGATTCCGAGTCTCTGATGTGCCTGAAGACCTACAAGACGGAGCGACCTGTTAACTCGGCGGCCATCAGCCCAATCATGGATCATGTCGTGCTGGGTGGCGGTCAAGATGCCATGGAGGTCACCACTACGTCTACGAAGGCTGGAAAGTTCGACTCGCGCTTCTTCCACTTGATATACGAGGAGGAGTTCGCCCGACTCAAGGGCCATTTCGGACCCATTAACAGTTTGGCCTTCCATCCGGATGGCAAGAGTTACGCCTCGGGCGGAGAAGATGGTTTCGTGCGTGTCCAGACATTCGATAGTACATACTTTGAGAACATCTTCGAGTAGTTTGCATCCAGTAGTGTTTAGTAGGGATCAGAGCCGGTGGACTGAACCTAACCACTTCACCGGCGACATGTTCGTTTGCTTAGGGAACTTTCAAATATACGCGAGGACGAAACGAAATGGATCGCATCGTTTATTTTATAACATCAAAGGGTACAACATGATTATATTCGAGTAAATGGTGTGCCTTGTGTAATCTAGAAAAAGGAACGCTTTTTTTGCTTGAGAACCACAGGCTGACCCTGCATGGCCGCCCACTGAGCCGGTGTGGGCAGGCAGCCCGGCGGAGGAGGCGGGATGACCACATTTCCGTTGGAATTTGTCCTCACCTCGGCGCGTGAGTCCAAGTGGAGCACCTGTGCGGCAGCTGCTCCAGCCGATGTACTGGGACCAGCAAATCCTAATCCAGTGCCATGATGCATACCGTAGTTGGGGTGCCCGCCGAAGGGCATCTGCTGTTGTTGGTGGCTAATCATGCCGTAATACTGATTCTGGCTGGGCGGAGGAGCCCCTCCTTGTGGATAACCATAGGCTCCAGTACCGGTACCGCCGTTTCGCTGGCTTTCTTCATAGGTTGGCGGAGGAGCTCGCTGGAAATCGTACACCTTAGATTGCAACTGTTCATTTGTAATCGAAAAAGCTTATTACCATGGCCATGGCATCGCCGGAATTCCGATAATCGTAGGCGGGAGCACTTGTCTCGCTTGGTGGACCCGATTTGGATGGCTTCGACATTTTATCTTGTTTGTAATTCGAAGTCGCACTTTGTTTACTTGCAGTTTCTGCGATTCAGAAACAGGGTTGTCAGCCAATCGAAATTAGTGATGTAAAGTTTTCCCGTCAGATCTGGATTTGTTCGAATTCAGTTTTGTGTAGTGCGCTCTGCGAGTATTTTAATTTGAGGTTTTTATTTGCTATGTGAACTAAAATACAAAAAAAAAAAAAGTAAAATTGTGTCAACAACAATTAATTAGTAAATTTGTTTTCAACTTCTTTCAACTCTTCAAGTTCTGCTATTAGGTCGCCAGTTAGAGAAACACATGCTTTTACAAATAATCCAAAATCAGATTTAAAGATATGCTGTGATAAAATATTCATGTTTGGGTCACCTATATTCAAAAATCAAACCAAAATTTAAAAAAATATGTATTGCGTAATAAAATTGAAGCTAATTTTAAAGACTTTTTAAAAATCTGAATAAATCCGACGCTGTTAAGTTCCCAATAATAATTACTTTTGGAATTTCTACCAAAGTGGTTGCATTTTTTCGGACGCTGGAAAATCCTATGCAAGTTTAGAAAGGCAGCCCACTGCTGGTTCCTGGCTTTTTCGTGGCTATCCGCACCGACATTGGCGATTCGCAACTGGGCTGCTTATACTGGCGCCTTTTTATCAGGTCTCTTTGAATAGAGCTGCCCAGGCTGCGAACGGGAACCGCTGTAATCCCATCGATTAGATTCTCCTGGGCGTGCTGGAGCGTGCTTTGGATCAACTGCTCCACGCCGATGGCTCGAGGATCCACCATCGGTTCACGCTCCAGAACGTCCACAATCATGCGAAGGGTCTCGTCGGACTGAAAGTCCTCCAGCGGCAGAACCTCAATCAGCTCCTTGAACATGTGAGCAACGATGAAGTGGGTGCGGTTCACAACTTCGGAATCGCCCAGATGGATACGAGCGCACAGCGAGTCCTTGGCGTGATCGAAAATTCCAGAGATCAGCTCCTCGGTATTCACATCAGAGCGCTCGTAGTCGAACACAGCCACAACCTCATTGAATAGCTTGCGAAGCTCCTCGCCGCTGATGTGTATGAAGTACTTCTTTGGCACAATCGTCTGCAGATGCTCCGTTATGCACTCGGCTATGCGATCCGTGTAGCGACCCTATATTATAATTTTTGGTAAGATAACCTAAACTTATTGTATTTAGTTGTTATCACCTGGAAACTGTAGGCGGCCTGGCACAAATAAAGCGAGGAACGCTGGGCAAACTTGCGCACATTCTCCGGAGTGGTGTTCTTTCCAAAGAAGCGATTGAAACTCTTCTGGACAATGGTCTGTACGCGATCCATGATAAACTCGTCGGGCATGGGTGGCAGCATGTATGCATCCACAGTGAGGATTGCGGGACATACCATTGCATCGTCATTGGGCATTATTTCACTGGCCACAACCTGTGGCTGTGCATTGGGATCCAACTCGAACTCGTAATTGATTTGCAGCGGCTTGGACTTCAGCCTCAGGGCACAAATTTCCCGCTCCAGGCACTGTTAAATATAGCGTTTTAAAGATTTGAAATCAGCTTAGGAGAAGTACCCACTTCAATCTGGTCCAGCAATGATTTTTCAATGCCCCTCAGCTTCTCAATATCGTAGGACAGATTCAGTACATTTGGATTGCTCCACTTGGCGTAGTTTTTGTTCTGAATGTCCAACAAAGTGCGAAGGAAATTGTTCTCTTCACGGAGCACGGTCATTATGTTAACCTTCTCGGTGTTATTCTGGGTCTCCAGGACCAGTTCCTCCTCGCAGCGAGAGAGTTCTTTCTGAAGCACAATAGTTGGATATTACAAAATTTTCATATTCATGAAAGCAAATGTACCTCTTTCTCCAAAAGCTCCTTTTCGAGAGCCATAAGCTCATCCTCGGCATTGGTTTCCAGATCAAAAATGTAACGCCTCAGGACCTCCTCCTCCAACTCATCCAGATTGACAATAATGCCGAACTTCTTCATCATTGCCTGGCGAATCTCCTCTTCGAGCCGCGTTATCTCGAATCGCATGAATTTTATGTCCGTGTTCATACGTCTCAAGTGAATGAAGTTTATTCGGTGCCAGCGCTTGGTCGCCTGTGTCTCCTCACTTAGTTGATCCGCCCGGCGACGCAGGTCCACTAGCATGTCGGCGTCGAAGAGAATGGCTTTGGACAGGTCGCGGTAGTCGTCGCCGTCATAGAAATGCTGCAGTTGGTCCATACGCAGGATGGCGCTGATGTTTACCTTGTTCACTTCCTGCTGTCGATTACGCTGCAAAACAGAAGCTTCAGCATGAAGGTCAAACTCCAATAGAATAACCTACCCGGAATTGCAACAGGGCATTCTTCTCGCGTTGGTACACTTCCTCGTGAAACTTCATCTTGATTTGCATCTCGGCGATTTCTTTGCGTTTGTTCTCCACTTCGCGTATCAGATCCCGTACATTTCGCTCCAGTTCGTGGCGGTCGGCGCGCATGGAGAAGGCCAAGTCGTATAGCGATCGATCCAGGCCGGTGGGGCAGGTGGCTTCGTCCAATCGGATAGTGGTCATGTCCAGTGAGTCCAAACTCTTGTTATCGGCCTGTTCGTCCTCGCTGGATGACGAAGATGAGGAGGAGGAAGAGGAGCTCTCGTCCTCCCCTCTGGATACCTTCGGTGGACGCCACTTCTTCTTGAAGATGCGTCGCAGGAAGTCGAAAAACTTGTGACCCTTAACGGTGGTCGCGAAGAGTACCTGCAGGGCTACGATTTGCTCGCCCAGCTTGTCGATGTTGCGCCTCAGCTCATCCAACTGCCTGTTGGTGCTATTGATAACCATCTGTAGGTCATTCCGGGTGCTCATCGCCGTCTTGGCGTTTAGAAGCAGCTGCGTCTCTATCTCCTCGCTGTCGCGTAGGATGTAGAGCTCCTGATTTAGGCTGTTCATGAATGAAGTCATAAACTCGGCGTCCAGTTTGACGTGGAAGCGTCGTACCTGCAGCTTTTCCAGTGCTTTATCAAACTGCCGCACTTCCTCGTCCACTTCTGTCCGTATGGCATCCTGTTCCACAAGTAAATGACGAAGCCATCGATGACGGGTCTCCATCATGTAGGGCGTCTGGCCATCATCATTCAACTCGAAGTAGGCCGGATCACTCCTAGGCGGCAGCTTTAGCAGCTCCTCGGTCAGCTCTGCATTGGGAAGACTTCTGGTCAGCTTCGAGATCTGGAGCATCGTGAAAGCGGCATTCTCGTGAAGCTCGGGTACATCCAAGCCGTGCATACTGAAAAGGCTTACGTTGCCAGCGGATCTTATTGGAGCTAGCCTGGATATCACCTGAGAATATAAAAGATGTATGTATGCATATAAAATAAAATAAGTAGCATTTAGTTCACCCACCTGTTCTGCACTGTCCTCCAGGGTTAGGATATCGTCAATCTCTACACCACAGCCGGGCGTATAGTGCTCGCAGAGATTAAGTTCTGGGTACTCCAAGTCCATGTCCGTTTCCTGAATCGGTTCCAAGGGCTGACGGTCCGGCTCGGGCAGATAGTTATGAATCACTTCAAGGCGTTTCCTCTTGGCGCTTATGAACTGGTCCAGCTCACCCTTGCGTTCGCGCAGCTCCATCACCATCTGGTTGAAGGAGTCCACCATAGCAAAGTATTGTTCGCGGCACTCAACGATCTCTATGTACTTCTGGGTCAAGGTTTCCGATGACTTCGGCTCATAGTCCGATCCGATTTTTAGCTTAAAGTCACCCAAGTTGCGTTTGGCATCCTCGATCTGGGCATCGTCATCGGGATGGTTACGATTGGGGTCCGGCTTCTGCCGCTCCAGCTTGTCCCAGTCGAAGATGCGGCGCACCTCGTAGAACTGACGTTTTCGGTAGCGGTTCAGGAGTCGCATCATTTTCTTGCTGAAGCGCGGTTCGATGCTCTTCGGATCCCGTCCAAAGAAGAACGACTCGGGCGGGGGCTCCCCAATGGATTCTTCCGATGTCTCGGGAACCACAATATCATGCAGTCTGTAATGAATACAGTCAGAAGTCATCAGTGGGTATCGATATTAACTAATGAAAATAAAGTCATATCTATGACTTATAATAACATGCATTGGTGGCATAATAAATAATTTAAGGTGAGCAGGTGATCAAATGTTTAAGAAATTGTATGTCTTACACTTCCGGTTGTTCTGGTACTCGATCCTCCGTGTAAAGGCTGATTGTGTTGAATGTAAGAGTAAATTATGTATATTTCTTGTGAAGATGGTAGAGTGAAAAGCTGAACCTTGAAATTCCCCACTTACCCCATGTCATGCTCCCGTTTCAGACGCTCCTCGATATCCTGCTTAATCTGCGCGTGCTCTTCTCCCAGAGCCTGTAGGCGGAATGTGGACACACCCGGCACTTTGGCACTACAAGCATAGTGTTATGTTTGTTGGGATGATATGCACCCGTTTACTTACCGCAATGGATTGACTGTGAAGGGGACTTGGACGAGCTGCTTGAGGAAGTGATTGTACAGCTTCGAGTGTCCCACCTGGGCAAATTCCAAGTCGTAGGCCAGATCCTCTCGAACATCATCCAACTCCGCCTGCAGCTCATTTCGAATTTGTCGGGTGATGCGATCGTCCAGAAGCAAGTCGGTATCCTTGGCCCTCAGGCCCGCCGGTAGCTCCTCATTGATCTTGATAATGTCGAAGTAGACGTTCTGGAGTACTCCGATTTTATTGAGCACATCACGATCATGTGCATCGGCTGCTTCCTGTTGGCGTCGCAGCTCCGCGTTGATTTTATCCTGCTCCAGGGATGTAGCCTCCGCCTCTATGTCCGGAATCTGGCTTACTCCCTCCGGCAGGGGCGGCAGTATATCCCTCTTCTTGTTCCTAACGATTTTCGGACCGTTCCACTTGTGTAGGAACACGTTTCCATCGTAGCCAACAGTGAGTAAGTGCTCACCACTGTAACTAATATCGATTTTGGGAATGGTGCCTTTCAGGCCGTCGTGCATCGGATAGATGCGGAACTCGGAGAGGTCCGTAAAATTGTCCGGATTGATGCGATTGATTCGAATCCGTCCATTGTGGAGACCAAAGATGATGAAGTCATCACTGGAAAATACAAAATAAGTGAACATGTCGGGATCTTTGGTAAGGGAATACAGACCAAGATAAAATGCTATATTCGAGTTTCCCGACTATCAGATACCGGTTACTTAGGTAGTGAAAGTGCAAACGAGAAATTTCAACAAAAAAAGTGAAAAAATACCACAACATTTTTAAAAGAGTGGTCGTGACAATTTTGGGCGATCTGTGGGCGTGACAAAAAGTTTTTTATAGCAATATACATGATATATTCAAAAAAGAAAAAATATTACATTTTTCAGAAGTGTGGGTGTGGCAGTTTTGGACGGTTTCGAGGCGTTCATACGGACAGACGGACGGACGGACATGGCCAGTTCGACTCATCTTGATCCTGATCAAGAATATATATACTTTATGTGGTCTGAAACGCTTCCTTCTGCCTGTTACATATTTTTCACCAAATCTAGTATACCCTTTTACTCTACGAGTTTAAATACACTCACATTATGCAATACGAGTGTATCTCGATATCATCCGCCTCCGCAATGATGGTGGCTTGAGTGGGCTCCGCCGCATTGAACTCCAGCTCATAGATATATCCCGCATCATAGCCCGCCATGGACACCCAAATTGTATCTCTGACGGTGTACCGCAGCCAGATGATTGCGTTGGGCACGACGGGGATGTGAAGCGGCTCCTCCTCTTCATCCGGTTCCGAGTCCGCCAGCGCTGACTCCATGTCGATCTGCAGACCGGGATTGGCCTTCTTCAATTTCTCGACCTCGTTCATCTTGCGCTCTCGCTTGCGTTCCTTGCGCTTCTTCGCGTTCTCCCGATTGATGTCCCTTCGGATGCGGCTTTTAATGGAAGCGAACTTTGTGTAACGCATGCGCGAGTTTTCAGTTATGTTATAGGACAGGTAAGTCTCCTGATCGGTGACCTCTGTGCGGATATTATACTCGTACAGATCACCACTCTTGCAACCCACCAGGACCACGGTGGGCTCCGTCTCGCTCCAGTAGAAGCAGTTCGGAATAGCTGCAAACTGGATAAATCCCAGCGGACGCATGTCTACCATCTGATTTTTATCCTGGCTCAATTGGTAGATGAATATGCTCTTGTCAGCGCTACCTGTAAGGAGTATAGAACTGTTCCGGTTTACAGTGAGTCCAGTAATCGGGGATGTGTGCGCCTTGAAGGCTCTCACGCGAGTCATCTTTGGTCTTTCTGGGTTGCTTAGGTCCAGATACAACTGCCGCAGAACACCATCCTTGAACGCTGCCACTAATTCGGTTCCCTTTACCGAGATATTCGTATCCAACCAGATCACATCGACTCCCTCCGCCGGGAACTGTTTCTCCAGGATCAGGCGCTGATCATCGTATTGGTAAAGAAACAGCTTTCCACTCTCCGACATGCAAAGGAAATGGGGCGACACTGGGGACATCTGGGCTGACAGTACCTTACCGCCAATGCAGGAGTAGAGCTTTTTCGGTTTTTGAGGGACATCGTAAGTGTTAATGTCGCAGAACCAAATACCTCCATTTCCATCTTGGGCGTAGTAGGTGAAATCCGACTCATCAAAAGGATGGATTTTCTGCATGGAACGGAGCTCCACGTCGGCAATCTTGAACTCGTAGATCGGATCGATCTCCACAAACAAATCGTCCTCTGGGGGATCGGCCAAGTCTACCGTTTCCCAGTACCAAACGCGCACATAACCGTCCATTCCAACAGTGGTCACTTCACCATTCTTCATGGTTATCCTTGTAATGGGTTTTGTATGGCACGGTTTTCGACCTTTCCGACAGATCTCGAACTTTATGAGCCCCGCCTGCCAAAGCAGCATGTTGCCCCAATCGCTGCCTGAGATCACATTCTCATCTTGCAACATGTACATGGCATAGATATCACTGAAGTCTGTCTTGCCAAAGCGTCCCAGATCTCCTTTCAGCTTCAGGCCGGTGAAGGTGTTGGCCATCTTCCAGAACTTGATGTGGCTAAGACCCGAAGAGCAGAGGAGAATGGGATTGTGCTCCGAAAAGTGCACGAACAGAATGTCGCTCTGGAAGGACTTGGCACGCAGGACGACCTCTGCCTTCTCCCAGAGCCAAATAGTTATGATGAAATCCGGATAGCCAGCCTGCGAGGCAAACAATTCCCCGGTCTTATTATAAGAGCCCGCCGTAAAACAATTCTGGGCTGCATTCAGAAGCTTTACACGGACATTAAGCGATGGGTACTCGTAGATAAAAACAGTGGGGCGAGCTCCGTTCTCGCCCACCGTAAAGAGGTTGGTGTACTTGGGATGCTCGTTTTTCTGGCAATCGAGGACAAAGAGGAGGACATTAGATCATACAAATGTTTTTAAGTTAAAGCTCACCGTAACAAATCCAACTCCGCAGCCGTAGACCGTTTCCTGAAAGGAAATCTCCTGGCGCGTAATACTAAAGTAATTGAGGAAGTTTCCCGAGGCAAAAACTAGAGTGTCTGAATCCACAAGGACCAAATTAAACAGTTTCTTACAATCGTAGCCAAAGGAGTGCCTGCAGCAGGAGTTTTCATATTATGAAGGTACAAGCTGCCAATTTCGTACTCACTCTACACTGACGATATCACGGGGGAAGGATATGTCGTTCTCATTTTCCAACTCCTCTTCGCCCAGAAGATCTGATTCCTGCGTAGTATCCATTTTATATAGCTTAAGCTCTACAAAAATTAACTTGCTGTGTATTTATTTATTTGATACAAGTGAAAAGGTTTGCTTGAGTGTTTGCTTGCCTGTTGCCAGGTCACATAAAACCGGCTATCTGAAAAGATTTGTTTAGACGTGGAGCATGCGCAGAAACGTTTCCAACGGAGTTCATACAATGCCTTAACATTTTCCAATACAATTTATTTCAATTAACTCATTAAACGACCTAGGATTAAATTCCCTCACATTATCTAAATATCTAAATCCAAAAAAGCCTCGTCATCATCATCGTTAAAAAACGCCGCGATATCGGACTCGGCATGGTTTTCTTTGGTCTTTTCTAAATTATTATTTTGCTCACGGCGCTCATTGACTGGAGCTGGCGAAAAGTATTGTTTTATGCTACTCTTTTCCGGTTTAAGGGAGGTAGACTTGGTGGGCGAGAAGTATTCCTCAATCTTGTGAGACTAAAAAGCAGTAAAATCATCGAAAATTATATTTTTCAAAGTATTTAAAACGTATCTTACTGAAGTGGGTGCTGCTGTGTGGGTTGCTTTCTGAAGATTTTCGGCAAAGATGCCCACTTTACTAAGCACCTCTTGCTTATTTTTCAGCATGTTCCAGATTGTGTCATCTGCCGTTTTGTGAGCCATCAGATAGCGACAAATCACCGGTTTCGTCTGACCAATGCGATGGGCACGACTTTCAGCCTGGGCCAGGGTCTACAGATAAAAAAAAAACATATTAGACTGATTTCCACGATAACATATGATGAAAGCTTACGCTGGGATTCCAGTCCAGTTCAGCGAACACTATAATCTCAGCAGCAGTTAGCGTGATTCCTGAATTGCAGGCTTTAAGGGAGAGCAGGGCCACCTTACAACTGCTCTTATTTTGGAATGTGTCTACAAAATCCGATCTGAGATCGCTGCGCGTCTGTCCATCAATACGTATGTAATGTATTTTCAACCCACTGAGGCAGTCACTAATGGCGTCCATCATGACACGATGGTGGGCAAAGATAATGAACTTTTTCTGTTCCTTAACTAAGGTTTTCAGGTAGGCGCTATAATTGATAATGTATTAAATTGCAGATAGTCTCGCAATGTTCGTTTATTTACCAGACGGCTCGAGCTTTCACTTCCGCAGTACGTGCATAGAAACGCAGTAAGAGATCCTCCATTTCTCTGCCTTTAGAGGTTTTCAACTCTTTGTTAAACGCATCTAAGGTATCTTTGGTCTCATCATTGGTCCACACTAAGGCGGGATCCAGGACCACAGTCTCACTGCGAATGGAAAAATGCAAAAAATGTTAGAAGTTATATTTTAAATATACAGCAATGTGAACACCCCACCGGTTTTTTTCAGCGAGTTGAGGCAGTACCTCCACTTTCGTTCGCCTCAGCATATATTTAAGGTTAAGAAGAACCTTCAGTTCCTCCAGATTCGACTGTCCGTTGGCATCCCAACCAAAAGTGGACTGCTTTCCATCACAATAACGAGTAGCTGTAAATAATGTAATTGATATAATCATGTTTTAAGGTTAGCATTTATCCTAGACATACTAAACTCCATGAAACTCATAAATTTTCCATCCACCATTTGAAGTTGAGTGAACAGTTCCAACGGTCGGGAGAGAGCTGGTGTTCCGGATAGCAAAACCACCCGCTTGGCTTGATCCGTGAGCCTCTTGGCCGTTGTCGTGCACTTGGCCTTGCTGTTCTTCAGCGTGTGCGACTCGTCGAAGATGATGAAACCATATTTGCGCTGCAACAGCTTATTTTCGTGCCGCTCCATCATGTTGTAGCTGGTGATTAGCACCTTGGCCTCGCCCACATATTGTTGATTGTTGTTCAGCACCTGGACATAGTGGATGGGCACCTTCGGCAGTAGCTCCATGATGTGTTTCGCCCAACTGTCTCTCGTTGAAGCAGTGGTGCAGACAAGTAAAGGCCAATCATCCTTGAAATAGTCGGCTACGGCCAAGGCCTGATAGGTTTTGCCCAGACCCATTTCATCACAGATCATAATGCGGCCCTTTTGGGCTATGGAAAAGCTAAATATAAGATGGAATAGATTTAGTGCGATTGGAGCATAACATATAGCATATCACTAAAGCTTACCATACGCCATCCTGTTGGAAGGGCATAAGCTGGTCCGCGAGCTTGGGTTCTATGGAAGCTAAAACACTTCTTTCCGGAACTATAGGAGGCTGGCGGCAGAGATCCAGCACCTTCTTTGGAATACCAACCAAGTGGACATATGGCTTTAGATCCGCTGTATGCGTCTCCAGGGATTGGTAGTCCGAGAGATCGAAACTCCATATTCGGGATTGGCTTTCGTAGGATTTGGTGGGCATGTTCTTGAACACGGCCACAAGCTTTTCATGATATCCGGAGGTATGGGCAGCAAACCGATATGTGCTGACCATATAAAGATAGCAAGTGATGGAGTTTCCGAGTTGCACAGTCACGGGTTTCTCCTTATCCGGACCAAGTGAAAGAGTTGGCTTGTTTCTTTCCTTCCCTCCATTTGGCCGTTGGTAAGGATGTGCGGCTCCTCGGGATAATTCTCGAGCGGAAGTCTGTTTGATTGCTTTTAGAGCGTTCATAAAGGACGAGCTCTTGTTGTCGCCGGGCGTGGGCCCGATCCTGGTGATATTCTTCTGCGCTGCAGTCGGTGATCGGTAGAAATTTAATGGGGATTTGGCCTGCGGTTGTTTGGGATCCGAATTTCCATTATGGGCATGCTGCGGAGCACCTGTTGCAGTCGTTGATTTTCCGTTGGATATGGATGCGCTGGCCAGCAGCTGGGTCTTCTTGGCCTGCAATTTGGCCAGCGCAATGCGCCTCTTCTCCGCTATTTCGGATGAACTGCAAGTGGACATGCTGCGACATAAATTAACGAAATTTGGCGGAATTTATAAACAACAAATGCATGGCTTAGTGTGACCAGCGCCATCATGTTTTTATCGTTTACATCATACAATAAGCGCCTAATCTGAAAAGTTTTATTTTACATCTTACACACTTTACTACACGTAAATGTAAAATACTTAGTCCTTAAATTAAATTAAAATAATTTTTGAGTTTCCTTATATTGTGTACGTGTTTTGTAAGTGATTATTTAATCAGCATTGGATTTTTCCTAAGAGTGAGTTATTATTATTTCTTTCCTATCAAGATGTTCTTAGGTATCATTTAATTTCCATCGGTATCAGTGGGCCAAATTCTTAATGATAGGATATCGCAGAGTGGGGCCTACTCCAGACAGCGATAAGGGGCGAAATAAAAACGGATGAAAGTCTGGCAAAGGCCACGATTGGTTCAATCACCATGAAAGTGTTCGTTGTACTAGCTCTGGCTTTGGCCGCTGTGTCCGCCGAGACTGTCCAGCAGGTTCATCCCAAGGACCTGCCCAGGGACACCAAGCTCAATGGCCGCATTGTGAATGGATATCCAGCCACCGAAGGCAAGGCTCCCTACACCGTGGGTCTGGGCTTCAGCGGCAACGGCGGCTGGTGGTGCGGTGGTTCCATCATCGCCCACGACTGGGTCTTGACTGCTGCTCACTGCACCAACGGCGCCTCTCAGGTGACCGTCTACTACGGAGCCACCTGGCGCACTAACGCCCAGTTCACCCACACCATCGGTAGCGGCAACTTCATCCAGAACCACAACTGGCCCGACCACAACGGCAACGACATCGCCTTGATCCGCACCCCCCACGTGGACTTCTGGCACATGGTGAACAAGGTGGAGCTGCCCAGCTTCAATGATCGCTACAACATGTACGACAACTGGTGGGCCGTCGCCTGCGGATGGGGACTGACCACCGCCGGATCCCAGCCCGATTGGTTGGAGTGCGTCGACCTGCAGATCATTAGCAACTCGGAATGCTCCCGCACCTATGGCAACCAGCCCGATGGCATCCTCTGTGTGTCCACCCCCGGCGGAAAGTCCACCTGCTCTGGTGACTCCGGTGGCCCCCTGGTTCTCCACGACGGTGGCCGCCTGGTGGGAGTCACCTCCTGGGTTTCCGGCGCCGGATGCACCGCTGGCCTGCCCTCCGGATTCACCCGTGTTACCAACCAGCTGGACTGGATCCGCGACAACTCCGGCGTTGCTTACTACTAAGCTTGATTATCCCCATTTATAATAAACAAAATGCTTAATACTTAATGTCGTGCCTTTTGCGTTTTTGGTTTTCAATATTAATAATATTTCACATTGATATTATAAAGTTTTGATATTTTTAGAGTCTATAATATACGTTTTATACATAGATAAGAATCCATGAATGGCCGAGAAATGGGATGGCTTCTAACACTTATTATCTGGGCAACATGATTAAAACCCTATATAATATATTTAGCAATGATAGGTATAGATATACATACATATATAAAAAGGAATATGAGTTGAGGCTTAATTTACTGAATAATAAGATAATAAATTCCCCAAAAAATTGCTACAAGAACTAATCCCACAGGCTAAGTATTTCTTGTTCTACATTTATATGCAGAAGCTGCTCGTATTATTTGGAAATATAAAATAATAAAAAAGTATTCGTCTTTGAAATATTTGTACGTTTTACGGGTAAATTCCAACGTTTTTTCTCTTAAAGATACCTATGTTTTTAATTACCTATGAATACATACATATATGTATTTTATATACAGTTTTAAATTAATTTAACAACGTAAATGGGATAGAAATTTATGGAAAACCTAAACAATGTAGCGCAATTCCAAACGTTAATTAACAATACATTTGAATGACCACAGGACTTGTTCCTTAATCTCTGGACTCTCCTGTTCGAGTGCTCCATTGAGTTGTGGTTCTGGGCATGAATGGGTGCTTATCGGGACTTATAAACAAATCAGCACCGAGTGGCCGCACGTCCAAGTCGATAGACTCACACAATCTCCTAGTGAATGAGTGGCGGTCGGCAATCGTCGGATTGAGTGGCACGTCATGAGCCGGAAAGTGTGCGAATCAGATGGGTAGATCAATGGAGTACCCTGTAATGATAGTGGCGCATTTTGGAGGCGTGCGAAATTAATTTGATAAGATAGGTCTAGGCAGAGTGGTTTGAAATTTCGAGTGGTGGTGAAGATCTCCAGCGATATGACTACGTCGGATTGGAGGGGTATATAAATCACTGCCCGACGGCGGAGTATCCAGTTGTACTCAAGTGATCAACATGAAGCTGTTCCTAACTGTCCTGGCTGTGGCCATTGCCTGCGCCTCCGCTGTGCCCGAGCATGTGAAGCCGGTGCCCCTGAAGGACGCTGTCCTGGGATCCGGACCCGGATCGATCGAGGGCCGCATCACCAACGGCTATCCTGCCCACGAGGGCAAGGTGCCATACATCGTTGGTCTGGGCTTCAGCAGCGGCAGTGGTGGCTGGTGGTGCGGTGGCTCGATCATCGGCAACACCTGGGTGATCACGGCTGCCCACTGCACCCATGGAGCTAGCTCCGTGACCATCTACTACGGTGCCTTGTGGCGCCTCCAGGCTCAGTACACCCACACCGTGGGCAGCGGCAGCTTCCGCCAGCACGCACACTACAACACCAACAACCTGAACAACGACATTTCCCTGATCAACACCCCGCACGTGGACTTCTGGCACCTGGTCAACAAGGTGGAGCTGCCCAACGGCAACGAGCGTCACAACAACTTCGCCGGCTGGTGGGCTGTGGCCTCCGGATGGGGCAGGCCCTGCGACAGCTGTGGAGTGTCTGACTACCTGAACTGCGTGGACTCCCAGATCATCGACCGCAACGCGTGCTCCAGCGTCTACGGAACCGATGTGGTCACCGACAACGTTATCTGCACCTCCACCCCCGGCGGCAAGTCCACCTGCGCCGGTGACTCTGGCGGCCCACTGGTCCTCCACGACGGTTCCAAGCTGGTCGGTGTCACCTCCTTCGTTGCCGCCAACGGTTGCACCTCGGGACTGCCCGATGGCTTCACCCGCGTCACCAGCTACCTGGACTGGATCCGCGACCACACCGGCATCTCTTACTAATTTCGTTTTTGAAATAAACTATTTTGCATTTAATAGAGTATTGTTTTTTACTAACTTAAAATCAAATAGAATGAATTTCGATCTCGAATGGGGAAACTAAAATCTATCCTCCTCAAGATTAGTTTCTTTAGTTTTTAGTTCTTTTATATAATCGTAGCTTTGTGCTGAACTTTGTATTCTATGAAAGCCGCGATTTAGAATTCATTATTATTGGTGATTCAATTTTTAGCCTCATATTTTAATTCAATTAGAAAGATAAGCTGGCTTCAAAAGTTAGAAACAAAAGTCGCTTTTTTTTATTTGTATTATCTGTGTTGGTTATTCCTATACTATATACTATCTCAGTTTTCTATCAATTGATTTAGAGGGATATGTTTACTCTTCGGACCTACGTACTTTCGATAAGATTATGGGTTTACGCAAGTGGCGAAAATTTCCATTTTTTGAGACTTAATTATAATAAATCAACTTTTCCATAATTTTACTAATGAAAATTTCTTATAATGAAATACAGATATATAGTTCGTTTATGATTAGTTATAAACTTTTAGTTAGAATTTGATAGTGAAAGTAACTTTATCACTTAATGAAATTTGATAAGTCAATGTAAGCTTTAAAACGATTACATAACATAATTTAGAATCGCTCAGCAAAAGCAATTTTTAATAACAAAAAATTATAAATTGTAATTGTTCTAGAATGGACTCCAAAATCTCAAGTTAATAGATTTAATATCTGGAGCTAACTAATTTTGGTGCACAAAAAGAAGAAAATGATACACAAGTTTCCGAGATTTTATTTACATCTATCTTATAATCTTCACCTTTAGAATATTGTTGTAATTGTGATTGTAAACAATATTAAACGAGAGCCTACATCGTAATTCTTGTTAATTAAAACTCGTAAGTATAAGCTTATCATAGTCCATACACTTGTGTATAAAGTTTTGGATTGTTTGTCCTTAAAAATAATTAAATTAATAAAAGTCGAGAAATCTTCAGATTAACTTAACCACAGTTATAGATATGTTTTCAATAAAAAACCAAAAAATCCCAGTCATTATCACTGATTATCCTTATCAGAACAATGAGCAGACTTACAGTTTATGTATAAGTTTTTTTTTTCTTAACAAAAAACTAATATTGGAAATCATTCAACAACTAATATTGGAATCATTCGTGTTGAAAGATCATTGTAAATTTCAAACTCTTATCAGGTATGATAAGATGGAATGGTCTGAACAACATTTAACATAATTTATAAATATAAGTCAAACTGCAAAAAAACCACCAACATGATCCCATTTAAATTGATCATAATTTGGTTGTTTTATTGCTGCCTAATTAAAATATAGTAAATCTAATTTATATTGCAATTAGGGCTTATGGTTTTCTTGATTACTAATTCCATGGGCCGACAGCGATTCTTCCACTCCGTTCTTATCGATGACATCGTTTATGGGAGTCTTGAGGATTATTTACGAGCCCTTTTCAGTTGCAGATAGGGTTCGCTGAAAATGTGTATAAAAGGCTGCTATTCTAGAGAATAATCCAGTATAGACATCAGCATGAAGGTGTTCCTAGCAATCCTGGCTCTGGCCGTGGCTTCGGCCGCCGCCTTCGACGAGAAGGTTTTCGTGAAGGACCTGCCCAAGACCACCAAGATTGAGGGCCGTGTCACCAACGGATACGCCGCCCCCGAGGGCAAGGCCCCCTACACTGTGGGTCTTGGCTTCAGCGGTGGTTGGTGGTGCGGTGGCTCCATCATTGCCCACGACTGGGTCCTGACTGCCGAGCACTGCATCGGAGATGCCGCTTCCGTGACCGTTTACTTCGGTGCCACCTGGCGCACCAACGCCCAGTTCACCCACACCGTCGGTAACGGCAACTTCATCAAGCACCAAAACGCTGATATCGCCCTGATCCGCATCCCCCACGTTGACTTCTGGCACATGGTGAACAAGGTCGAGCTCCCAAGCTACAACGACCGTTACAACAACTACAACGAATGGTGGGCCGTTGCCTGCGGATGGGGTGGCACCTACGACGGCAGCCCACTGCCCGACTGGCTGCAGTGCGTCGACCTGCAGATCGTCCACAACGACGAGTGCGGCTGGACCTACGGCAGCGTCGGTGACAACATTATCTGCACCCGCACCGTCGACGGCAAGTCCATCTGCCAAGGTGACTCTGGCGGTCCTCTGGTCACACACGACGGCACCAAGCTGGTGGGAGTCAGCAACTTCGTCTCTTCCAACGGCTGCCAGTCGGGAGCTCCTGCTGGATTCCAGCGCGTCACCTACCATTTGGATTGGATCCGCGACCACACTGGCATCTCATACTAATTTTTCTAAATAAATCGATCATATTAAAAGAGTATATAATTACAGTGGGCGGCAGCAAACTAAAGCGCAATTGTGAAGCGGCAAAAATCTTGAATGGAGCTCGAAAAAAAAAAGCTGGGTCACCAACAAGTTTACTACGCTCGTTTTACACAGTGTAAGGCACATTTTACTCGTGTGTAGAAACCACATCGTAAATTTATTGTAGACAAATAACATATGTGGGTATTTTGTGTGAATGGCAACACACCTGCTGATTGCAAGTAAACAATTAATTACGTTTTTGCCTTGCACCAGAGGATTGCGTTGGGAGTGCTTGTTGGTGGCCAGATCACGTAACCGGAGGCGGCAGCATGTGCACTCTGCATCCCGAGGAGGAGGCCCACCTGATGGCCATGGCCAGCGGCGGACAACCAACACGAACGGCCAGTCCAAGGCCACTTTTCAAAGCCTCCACAGCACCACTACGATCGCTGTTTGATGTCTGCTGGGACGATGTGCTCATCCCGCAGGTTGCCATCTACCTGTCGCTCAAGGATCTCTTTAACCTGCGGTGCTGCTCCCGTACCGCACAACGCTTTGTGGAGGCTGCGCTGGAAAAAAGGCAGGAACTTCATCTTTCTGGGAACAACACTAAGAATATCGACGTGGGCTTTCGAGTGCTGGCACGCTGTTGCCAACGATTAGAGGTGCTTCATTTGGCTTGTTGCCGGTGGCTAACGGATGAGCTGCTGCTGCCCCTGCTAACCAACAACAAGAAACGCCTGTGGGCCGTCAACCTGAACGAGTGCGTCAACATCACAGCCCTTTCGCTGCAGCCGATCATCGTAGAGTGCAAAGAGCTGCGCGTACTCAAGCTGTCCAAGTGCCAGTGGCTGACCACTGGAGCAGTGGACGCTTTGACGCTGCACCAAAGCAAGCTGGTGGAGTTTGACATCTCCTATTGCGGAGCAATTGGCGAACGCTGCTTGATTATCTTCTTCAGAAAACTTAACAAGCTCACCGTCCTGTCGCTCGCAAACACGCCCAGTGTCACAGACCAGGTGCTCATCCAGATCGGGAACTATTGTCGCGAACTGGAGCACATCAACCTGATCGGGTGTGCGACCATCTCCGACTATGGCGTGCAGTAAGTAATCGTTATCCCTAACAGCTGTTGTCATTTTGTCAGTAAACCTGTGCGTGCCTTGTGTCTGTGTGTTTCTGGGGAAACCAATCTGCATCTGCATCCGCATCTGCGTATTTTCAGCGCTTTAACAGTGCACTGTTTGCGTCTACAGACCTTGCTCATCCGCCGTTGTCCGCGGGTCACGGAACTCTCTTTAGCACCGCTCAGGCAGCGGCGTCTTTACATCGATAGGCCACAGCAGGACGTGGGGCTCAACGCTTACAACTTGAACGACTTCTATCCCAGCGATTTTCTTGTTTACTAGCCCACACTTCGTTTTCCCTCTTCCGCAGCGCCCTCACCTCGAGTTGCCCGCTGCTGCAGTCATTGATGGTGCAGCGCTGCCCATTGGTCACCGAGCGTGTGCTCGCCCCACTTCGTGGACGGGTCCACATCGATCGGCCCAGTATGGGCTACATGCCAACTGTGCGACATCACCGCCTGTTCCTTCAGGTTTGAGATTAATTCTGATTCCGGGCCAATACCAATGTACCAATGAGGCTATCCAATACCTTTTCTGTAAATACATGCCTCAGCATGGGACGCTTTAATTTACTTTTAAGCTTATTCTTACACATTGTTAACATTAATTTAGGCTGTACAATAAACATACTAACTTATTCATCTCTCTCTCCAAAAGCTCGTGCTTTTTGCATACATTCAAACAAGAAAGGAAGCTAGAATCGGCAAGCCGAAGCTTATACTTATACCCTTGCAGTAATTATTATATATACCGAATAAAAACAACGGCCCGTTCCGATTTATAAAATATCTGCAATAGAAAGAAGACTTTTGGAAAATCTTCATGTAGATAGATTTAAAACTAAGACATTTTTTTGCGTAAACGGACAGACTGATATATACTTTATATGGTCTCAAATTCCATCAATGCGTTACAAACTTTTGGCTGAAATAAAACTATCTGCAAGGGTATAAAAGCATGGCTAAAATGCGGCCAATATAAATACAATAGTGTGCTTTAACATTCCCCTTGGGTTTCGTGCGGTTTCCCATCATTGTGCTGAAATTAATGGCGAGTTAGAGGTAGTTGTTGTCGTGGATGTCGCCTCGACCCCTTTTGACAGTTGAAGTTGTTGCTTCAATGCAGAGCTTACACTGAGGTCCTCGTTCCCTCGGCCATCAGCGGATCGCCACTGCTCGTGCAGATGCTGCAAGTGAGCGTAGGCGGCCATGGACATGTTCAAACTGGGATTCACTGGGCTTAGACCAGGTTCCCCAGTGAAGGCCAGTCCGCAGAGGCCGAGGTAAGTGTGAAACGGATCTGGCGAGGCTTGCGGCCACTTGGCAAAGCCCCCAATGAGTTTGTCCTGTGTGCTCAGAATAAATTCTCGGTTCCTGGCGTAGTCGGTTAGTTCGAAGCCATCCAGAATACATAGCGAAGCACCAATCCAGAAGGAATAACACGTATCGACTGGCTTATTGGGACGACCCTGGAATCCATCCATCTGCCGGAAAACTAGCCAACGCTTCATTCGCTCCACCGTGGTAGCATCTAGGCGATGCAGTTGTCCACTAAGATGCAACGCCGCCAAGGCACAGAATGTGGTGCCGCCATGGGCCTCTCCCTCCAGCTCTTGGCTGAAACCGTAATCGTACCGCAGGCTTCGAGTGATGAACTGAAACATGGTTTCCTTATCGACATCACCCCAGTAGTCCAACATGTAGCAGATGGTGGCGGCACAATAAACAAATCGCATGTCATCCTCGCTGCCATCGATGCAGGCGCTAAAACTGCCCTCCGGCTTCTGAACAGCAGCCACTCCGGCCACAATGCTTTTTCGATCCAGACGGGACAAATCGTCGCCCAGGGTCACCAGCACTGCGAGACTGGTGTATGTCATGGCCAAGTGACCCCACTGATACTTCCGCATGCACTCCAAGATCTCGGCGTCCTCGCTTTTAGGAACCATGGCGCGGCAGCCCTGCAAAGATACCAATTAATTAAAGTATCTATTTTAAAGTGGTTTTGCATGTTGCTGCCGTCGCTGATAAAGCGTGGCGCGATAAACTCGGTGGGTGGGGTGTGGTGGGTATTGGTAAATCGAGCTGCTGCGCAAATGGAGAACTACCCTACAGTTATGCATACTTAAACAGTATAGATCGTAACAAAAGCAATGCCACTTTGCTTTTTTTCTAAAGCAGATGCGTTGACCTTGGAATTAACAATTTAATTGGTTTCATTAAGTAGAAACATTTGTTGGAAACAAAGTGTATCCAACTTTATTTAAAAATAAAATTTAGATTTTATATTGAAACTAGAGAGTCTGAGTAACATTGTTAAATTATAAAACTTAAATGCATAAATCATTAAATTGTCTTTGTATGGGTAAATGACCTATAAATGTATTTATGGTTTTCCATTAGTATTTACACCGTGTTACTAGTACATCAGCGTTTATTGCATCTGTAAGCATTAGGATGGTGTGATGGGGAAATAAGACGTGGCTTCTGAGGTATATCGGTTATACGAATACGACATAATTAAATTAAAAAGAATTTAACGGAAAGAATTGCATACTTTTTCCGATGAATGCAAATGATTCATGGCGTATTTTCAAAATATAAACTTTATAGAAGCGTCTCAATGAAGGAAATGCGAATTCATATATAAGCTGACTGAATAAACACCAATATGTGGGGGATGCGACAAGGTCTGCCGCAGTGTCTTTTGCCTGGCCACGTATCGAGATAAGGAATATGACTGGGAGTGGATGTGGGAACGGAAGGCGGTGCTGTTTGGCTTGTCAACGACTGTTTGTACATCTGACAGACCCGAATTTATGCTCACCATGAAACCGCCGCAGTTCTTCTCGTGGTCGCGTGGCACCACCAATCCTCCGTAGATCCAGTCAATGATGTCCTGCCTCATTTGTGGGGGAACCAGATGCAATGAGTTCAGCACATCCAGACCGCAGACGGCGAAGAACACAATTGTGCTCCTGATGGACAAAGGCATGGTTACTCACAAGGAATATACGAGGCCAGAATGCACTTACCTTGTGCTATCGTGCGACGCCATGCGAGCTGGCAGGAGATTAAGGAATCGGAGCAGATTCTTGGCGTGCTTGGAGAGCAGCACGGGCTCCGCATCATTGTGGTCTTCCATATCTATGTGGTGGGACATATTGCTTATTATTTTCGTAACTTATGGCTGGGCAGGAAATGAGTTGTCTCGAGGAGTGCTGAGATATGGATATGACTAAGCGTTGCGAGGCCCTTCCCAAACGGTTGGACGGAGCTGGCCAGAACAGACGCTCTCAGGTTGCGATTGCGTCTTCCAATGGTGTTGCGCCTGCACGTGCCCGCATTTATATGGTCTAGCACTTACCTTTTGTTTATATAAAGCCGGTTTGCATTGCAATTTAGAGCTGCGGCGAACGATATAAAACACCAAGAGTAGTCCACAATCAGCAGCTGCTTCCTCTTACCTCTTTTTGCCAGTCACAACGAACCAAGTTTACACGGGGAATTCAATGCTAGTTTGCTAATTTGTAAATCCTAATGTAAAGAAAGATGTAAGCTAACTTATTTTGTTTAACCAAAAACCTGACAAAAAAAAATTTTAATTGTAATTTCAAGCCCAATTTTAATTTAATTCAATAATTTTCGAGCCCACTACAAGTAATCATAATCTTTAGCGTCGCATAAATATTCAAAATAAATACAACTTTGGTGATTTCCTTTGAATGGCTTTTTATTAGTTCCCAACAGCTGATTGCAAGCCGCATTTAATTTCTTAGTTCTTATTATTAATTATTGAATTAATCTTTCAAGATGCGTTTAACGCAGTATTTGGCCAGCAAGTTGAAGAACTTTTCCAATCTGCCCAAGGAATACATCGAGCGCAGCAAAAAGCAGGTAACAGGAAAAGTCGCTTTTCATTGAACAACTTGTGAACAGTGGCTCACGTAACAGATCGCATGGAAAATGTATCCGCATTTATTGAAATATTTATATTCATCTAAAAATAGGTGTACTGGCAAACTCCAAAGGAGATTAATTACCTGCCACGTACAGTTGAGCGAAAGAAGTTTCGGTACACGACAAATCGCCCGTGGACGGGACAGTTCCGCCAGCAAAATATGCCCGGAACAGTACGTCGCAAGGTGCTAGTGGAACCAATTGGTAAGGAAAAGTATGCCTTTATCTCTACTCTAGTAAACCATGGTTGTGTCTCTTTAGAGGACTGGAGCTATTTCCGTGGGGATCGTATTGAAGTCCTGGTGGGTAAGGACAAGGGAAAACAAGGAATCGTCACCCAGGTAATACCCGAGCGCAATTGGGTAATTGTAGAAGGCCTCAACTGGCACTATCGCAAGGTTGGCGGCGAGAAGGAGTTTCCCGGCATCATTATCAAGTCCGAGGCACCACTGCACGTCACCAAGGATATTCGTCTGGTGGACCCAGCGGATCTTCAGGGCACTGACTTTGAGTGGCGTTTCACGGAGGAAGGCGAGAAAGTGCGGGTGTCCTTGCGATCAGGCCGAATCATACCCGTCCCAGAGACAAACAATCAGACACACGATTACAAAACACCAAACGCCTATATCGAAAGAGAGAAAGATACGCCAGGTATGGGCTACTCATATCTCAAATCATTATGTTCATAGTCCTACAAGTCTGTCCTTTTCAGGCGCTGTTGTGGGTGAGATCACCTTTCAGCCCAAGTTGTCTACATTCGAGATGGACATTATGGAGGAAATGGGCATCAAGGAGGAACGCACGCCTGTAAAGAGCTATTGGTACTAATGTTATGCCTACTGTTTATTAAAGTAATGTACAAAATACCCATATAATTGAGCAATTAGTTTAATGTCACTTGCGCACCGTGCTGAAGACCTCCTCGCGATGATCCCGAAGCGTCTTAGCCAGTCTACATACTGTTTCCTCCGCCTTGTCGTAGTCTGGGCGCAGCGTGCTGTTGAAAGTTTCGTAGAGCCACGTGCACGTTTTGGACATGTTTGACTCGTAGCTGGTGAACACTCTACTGGTGTGCTCGTATCTACAAAGGATTCGTTTAGCGTTGGAGAAGATTCTAGAGGTATCTATATATTGACTCACCGCGCTTTGTTGGCTATATCCGTGATTAGGTAGGTATTACAGTGCTTGACGGCTAGGACTTGGCGATGACTCATGTATTTGAGTTCCACGTGCGGCAGAGCCAGCTGAGCCGCCTCTAGGGATATCGTGGAGGCGTGTAACAGACTTCGGCAGTCCAACGCCCACTGAAGCTTTTGCTTGGGATCTCTGAAGGAGTAATAACATGTTAACCGGTTCTAAGTGGGAATTATGTTACCTACATTATCCTCCCAAGCTGTCGCCATTGTTTTAATGCCTGCGTAGAGGAATTGGCGGCTGCCCTTAGTAGTAATCCACAGATGCGCCACTGCTCTAGTGCGCTGCCCAGCTTATCTCTTGTATCTCTTGCCGTCTCTAACTGCTCATCAATGCGCTCCTCTAGCCGAGTCATGTACGTTCCCCCGCTTATATAGGCTATAATCCCATCTTGTCTCACGTACAGCTCGTTCAGCTCCGCATAGCTCTCGACCAGTGTTTTAAGACGCACCTTAGTGTGCTCCAATAGCTCTCCGTAGTAGCGAATGCTTAGCAAATACAGGGCGGACTCGCTCAGGTTGGCGAAGAAATCCTCGTGCATGGAAGCCTTGCGGGCATCGCCAATTACACCCAGGTTGTAGGCAAGCTAAGGTCAAAATTTAATAATATACTTGAGGAAAGTTCATCACATTCACTAATGGCAGGCCATTTACCTGGGCCAGGTCCTTGGTGGGTGTGTTGGCTACAATTGGGTCGCCCTGCCGTCCCATTGTGTAAGCTGGAAGGGGCAGTGCCTCCTCCGTTTCCCATTCCCTCTCCCGCATAGGTGCTACTCCCATGCCTTCGAGTCCCAGCATCGCCTCGTGCTTGCTCTGGATGTGTTCCACCCAGGCTTCGGCGGTTGCCATTCGAGGACCAGGGCATGTGCCCTCCAGCTTGCTGATCTGCTCGTCCAGGCGCACATATTGCTCGACCACATTCTGATGACGAAATGGAAGAGGTATTGATTATGGCAAAGGTAAGACGACTTGTACAAGTGCTATTACTCCAGAGGCGCCATTCTGGCGCGGTTGCATTTCCGAGCTGACCTCCGTGACGACAGGATTCGTCTGCGTATCCATGGAGGAGCCACAGCCCATCACTCAGGTTGTCTGTCCGAAGTGCTGCACGAAGTTTGCCCGCTCTTCCGGCGATGACATCTTCCGTCCCAGACCTTTCCAGTTCGCCTGTCCAGCGCTGAATGAGCTTTCGTTGGGTCCGTCATGTCCACTTATGAGGGAAAACACAATAAAAAATTATTTTTTGCGCGCTAGTCATTGGACAGGGCCACACCAAATCCACCCACGACCCATTTTGGGAGGTGGGGACAGGGTCAAGCGTTACCCCCTTGTTAACACGTATGTGTCCTTTAGAGTGGACTTCTCTTCATGGAAATTGCTCATACGACATGTGCACCAATTTTGTAAACACGTGCTTTCCTCACATTGCTTGATTCACATATTTCGGTTAATAAATTGATAGATAATAATATTTCGGTTAAATGCATTTTTTAAGGTTCACTCCAATGGCCCTATGTGTGTCAACAAATTGTTATTTGCCTTGCTAGCATTTTTGTTGGTGTGTCCACTATACCTTGTTGGATTTGTGAATTGGCACACGGTGTATTTGTATTAACAAGTTAACAAAAACAACAAAGAGGGGAGCCATTAACATCTGCTTATTGTGTTGGAAATGTGCAAGCTCACCTGAACGAAGGACGAACCCTAGTAGCCCTATAACTTGGGTACTAATCGACCGAAAACATAATCCATCAGCAGGATTATAATCTAGATTTTGATAAATTACCTGCAAATTAGTGGTACACTCTGCTGAGGAGTTGTTATTGCTTATTAGGCTTGGTATACCCTGCAGAGAAAGTAAATTTGTTACATTTCAAACATTTTACCATTTCTAAGGGAAATAAACATGTTACCATTGGTAAAATGTAAGAACATATATTCTTAAGTAATAACTTTTTAGCTGTACACATTGCCATATGCTAGAACTCGTTAAGTTATCTTGTTTATCGCTTTTTCTACTTTTCCTAACCAGCTAAATTATTAACGCTATTCGAAGGGCAGTGAGTCCTCCGATCCCTTGACAATTGGTCATTAAACTTGTCCAAATGTGGATTCCAAACATATAGTGCGACCACATGTCGCATGACCAATGCAGTGCAACCGAACGGTAAGGCGTCGGAAAATAATGGATCAAATGATTGCGTTTAAATAAGTAATAATGTAGTCAAGTGTCGATTAGAGTGGTGAAGTCCAAATGCAAACTTGTTGATGAATGGCGCCCAAGCTTTCTGAGCTTCTGGGGGGCGAAAGTGTTAAGCAAAACATGGAAAACCAAAAGCCATATAGGCGCCTGCGCTATTGTGACCTCCAAGTTATTTTCTACCTAGTCGTTGTGGTTGGAGCACAAGTGGAAGATGTTGTGGTGCATCTCCAGGAGTGGTAGTCGTTGGAGATGTGGCATCCGTGGTCGTTATAGGAGCATCTGTTATATCCGGGATGTCTGGAGAGGTCCGACTGCTTCTGGTGCTCTTTGTCAATGTTTTACTTCTGTTCAATGAAATTCAATAGGACGTACAAATTTATAGGTAGCATTCATATAAAATCCGACCACATGTCGTATGCGCAATTGAGTGCACCTAAAATCGGGGTGGCAAAAATTAATAGGTCAAGTAAATGCGTTTAAATAAGCCATTGTGTGGGTGCAAAATGCAAACTTGTTGATAGGAACTGTGCCACCAGAATGAGGCGAGCAAAACATGGGAATCCACAACAATATCCACCGCGCCTGCGTCATCCTGGAAATCGGCGACTATAAAGCTTCGTAGGACCGAAGGTCGCAGGGGATGGTACGATGGCATTTTCACTTTCAATATTGAAAGCAGCGCCGGCGGCTGAATGGAAACCGAAACCCCGCAACTGCGTCGCTTCCGACTCGGATTTATATTCAGTCGCATTGTGCCTCGCGTGCGGCAAAGATGTCCGCGACTATACCTCGCTGACGTGCATCTCTGAAGTCTCTGGAAAATCTCCCACGCCTCGCCACCCGATTTATACACACTTCCTACCGATTCTCAACCACATGGGTCTGCGGGATACCATTCGAAATCTACGGCCGGAGAGTCCCGGCCGGGACAAGGGCAGCATCGAGCTGCAGCACCGAAGTCCGAGAGGTGCATGCCATCACAATCAGGTGGCCGCCGTCCAGGTCACCGAACAGTCCTTACAGGTATGGCGCGCACTGCCCGCAGAGATTCGCCACGATCCCAGCATGGCCAGTTTTCAGATGGAGAACGAAAGAATCCATGGTGAGTTAAGGGGTTCACATGCAATTTATGAAAAAATATTATTTCATAAATAAAAATATATATAAATAAATTTAATATTCTGTTTTCCTGTTTGCTGAGTGTATGAGCCATAGCATTTAAATCAATAAGCCGTCAAACAAACGTCAATCCATTCTTTAAGTTCATAGCTAGCACATTAATTACTTGACTGCCACCCACTCGTAGGTTCCTCCGCCGGCGCCAGCGACGACGAGGATGAGGATGAGGAGGCATACGAGGAGGTAGATAGGAAGAACGCCAGTGGCATTCAGGACGAGCCCGGTTCCAGCTATGCTGGCTCCGACTTCCTGGACATCAAGACCAGGCCTGGTGATGAGAATGCCACCGACGATGAGGCCACCACCCATTCCGACCACGAACCGGCCAATGGGCCGGGTAATGCCAAATCACAGGCCCGCCGGATCCATCACAAATCCAGGCGTTCCAAGGAGCAAAGACAGCGGGACAAATTGTGGAAACGCGGCGGATTACTTGTCTTTTGGCTCCTGGCGGCAGTGGTGCTGATATCGGTGGGCGAAAAGCATCTGCTGGAGAAAACCATTGATGTGCCCATGGGCGAGCAGGGAAAGTGTGAGTTACTATTGCTCTTTTATCGAATTTATTAGGAAATTATTTTTAATTAGTTTTCAAGCTGCGTCAAAAACCCACTGGTGACTTTCGCTTAAAGATTCATGGTGCTTTTAGAGAGCTCTCCACGCTGGATGCCCCTGAAAATGAGACTTTGAGCTTCGGATTTCTGACTGTGCAGCCACAGGTGTCCACTTACATTGGCGAGAATCACAGCCAGGTGTTCCAGGTGGGTGTTACTTAACTTTTTACTACCCGAATGTGTACAAAGTTGGCAAAAAATTAACTTTTGTTTTATATTTCAGGATATACTTCCAGCCTGGCGGTTACCACTGCTCTCCCAGGACGAGCTGTTGCTACGTGCTCCGGCTGTGGCCACCAATCGCACCTATCAGATGACCCAGGAGTTGAGTGGTTTTTTGGAGGAGAAGGACAGCGAATTTCGCTTGCATATCTTTAGCGATGTGGAGGCGGATTTGGCCATTGTTCTGAACTATAATCCCTTGATAGTGAATGCCAGGACAGGGAGCATCCTGGCTGGCTTGATCCTGCTGATCTTCTACGCATTGCTGGTTTGGGAACTGTTCGAAAGGACCTTTGTGGCCATGATATGTTCTATTCTTTCCGTGACAGCTCTAGCCTGTTTTAATGGTGGGCTAAAGAACCCAGGCTTTTATTCATCACTTAATAACTTTTAATCCCACAGATCGTCCCAATATGGATGAGATTATCCAGTGGATGGACATGGAGCTACTGACTCTACTCTTCTGCATGATGCTGCTCATTTTGATACTGACAGAAACTGGCGTATTCGACTACCTGGCCGTATTTTGTTTCGAGATATCGGGTGGCAAGATTTGGCCCATGATATACAGTCTTTGCTTGGTCACCTGCGTAGTGTCCAGTGTGCTGGACAACATGACAACCGTGCTGCTCCTCACCCCAGTGGCAATCCGATTGTGCGAGGTAATGCAGCTGGATCCCCTGCCCGTGGTGATGGGCATTATAGTGCATGCCAATATCGGAGGCGCCCTGACACCCATCGGAGATCCCATCAGCATTATAGTCAGCACCAATCACTTTATTGTGGATAATGTGGGTACAACACGGGTCCTATCTAAGCTATTATATAGTTTAGCCTTTTCTTTTCAGGATGTAACTTTTCCCACATTTGTGGCCCACACTTTCCCTGGTGTCATTTTAGCAGTTATTCAAAGTTGCGTGTATCTGCGCCTCTTCTATCACAATATCGATGCACTGCGTCTCAATGAGCCCAAGGAGATGAGTGAGCTTCGGAGGGAGATGAAGGTGTGGCAGAGAGCCCTCAATGCAGTGGCCTCCTGTTCCAAGGATGCCCAGCTGGTGAGGGGAACGCTTCAGGCTAAAATTAAGCAGCTGAAAAGGACCCTTAGAAGGTTGCAAAAGGGTGTGGGATCCTCGGAGGTCTATACAAATACGCTGGATGAGCTCAAGCAGAAGGTAAAAGGATTCAGAGAACTGGAATCTTTATAGCTGACCAATCCATTTCCAGTACCCCATCAAAAACAAGACCCTTTTGTTGCAATCCGCCGGAGCCCTGCTCTTCGTCATTGTTTGCTTCTTCATTCAATCCGTGCCGCACTGGAGGACGTTGCCCCTGGGTTGGGTGGCCCTGCTGGGCGTGATCCTGCTGCTGATCATCCTCAATCGTGATGACATGGAGCATCTGATGCACCGCATCGAGTGGACCACACTGCTCTTCTTTGCCGCCATGTTCGTGATGATGGAGTGCGTGGAGAGATTGGGAATCTTCTCCTGCATCAGTGAGCTCACCGAGCATGTGATCCTTTCGGTGGGGAAGAGTCTTCGTCTGGCCATGGCCATCTTTATGATATTATGGATGTCGGCGCTGGCATCCTCCATATTGGATAGTATTCCAGTGGCAGCCATAATGGTGAAGCTGGTGACCTCTCTGGTGGCCAAGCCATCGCTGGGATTGCCCCTCCAGCCACTAGTTTGGGCTCTGACCCTGGGCGCATCGATGGGTGGGAATGGAACGCTCTATGGCGCCTCAGCCAATGTCATAGCAGCCGGAATTGCCGAGCAACATGGCTATAAGCTGTCCTTCACCCGATATTTGAGAACCGTTTTTCCCATGATGCTGGCACAGATCACCCTGATGACTGTCTATCTACTGGTGGCCCATGTGGTCTTTGAATGGCATTGAGACTCCCTATTTAATATCCATACTGATTAATATATTATTGTATCTAATGAATAATGTTTTTCACTTCGAATCTAAAAAGTTTATTTTGTGTGAGTTCCACTGTAGTCCTCGTCCTTTTATATTCGCCTCTTGATGTGTTTTATGTGTTCTGGCATATAACGTAAGAATATCTATATTTAAGCGTTCATTTGTGATTAGCAAATGTATAAAAATATACCATAAATATAAAGTGCATATGGTTTTCGTTCACCTCTATAGAACTTGGCTGGACTGATGGAAATCACTTTTGGTAGTCTCTCGCTCAAGGCTGTGTTTTTAATGTCGTGTGGAATGCTCTAATTTTAGTCTTTATCGTCTGAGGTCGAAGTGGGGAAATCGTGCAAATTAAACAGGCCATAAGCACAGAACCAATGAAAATTATAGATTTTATGTTGAATTTTCAATAAGAGGTAGCTCTATTTAATAAGCCTTAAATTATAAACTATAATAATTCTTACCTATATGTGGCATATTTTAGAAATTTCAAAGCATCCATATAAACATACAATAGGTTACATTATAGATATCATAATTCTCGTGTTTTCGCGTTTTTTCCATATGCACTTTGGTAGGAAAACATAAACAAACGTAAATAATTCCTGAGACTGACCATTGCCAAGTTCAATGTTGACCGGAATATCCGCATATGAAAGCGTATGCATGTATATAAAACGCAGTATATAGCTTATAGTATATAGAAAGACAAACGCTGGTCAATAAATGAGAACAAGACAAAATGGAAAAGCAGCGAGGGATTTCCTCGGGTGGTTGTTGGTATTTGCTCTGCTGCTGCTGCTGCCGCTGCGCTTTCCACGCTTTCCACAGCGCTCGTTCCATAGGTAAATTGTATTTTAAGTTCTCAAACAAATGGCCACGAGGGATTGGGAACGGAGGAGGTGAAACGGAGGACCCAGTCCGCCATGTGGAGAGGAGACTGCCAGCAGTTTTATGGCAGCCGCGAGAGGGAAAGTCGGCCCCAACGACTGACTGAATTTTAATTAATTTTCGCCAAGGAATAAAGTGAAAATTGGAAATTGGCTTAGACCTAGACTGCCCTGGTGGCCAATAAAAATGTGACAAGCGTTCGAAATTTCGCTGGAATTGTGTTGCTTTTTTTTGAAGGTGAACCAAAATGACATCTCCTTATGGATACAGCAAACCCACCTTTATGATAACGGACCACACCCGGGATCCGTATCATCTGCAGCCCGGTGATGAAGACGATGATCTGGATGAGGACGAGGAGCGACAGTCCAAGCTGCAGGAGATCATCAGTTGGCTGCATTTGAACGCCAAACATCGCAGCAAATGGTAAGTTGGGCGCATCAAGTATACGCCCTGAGTCAACTTCTTTCTATATTAAGTATACGCTCGGGTGGCCACCGCCACTCAAAGTTTCAGTTGTTTATTTGCCTGGTTCGTTTTTCTCATTAGCCTGACATTTAATTGTGCTGCAGGAGATGGTGGACCCAAAACTTTTCTCTTTAATGTCCTGCTAAGCTCCTTAATAACGGTCCATTGATCATGATGGACATTTGATGGAATTTAAGCCGCTGAGAACCGCAACAGATGGTTTCCATTGAGATTGATTACAATTTATTTGTTTTTTAGTTGGAGCAGACACAGCAGATTGTATATTTCATAGTCCTATGCGTAAGAAATCCAGCCGAGTGATAAATGCGCTTTTCTCAGAAACTCTGATTGAAATGTACTCCTAATCCAAATTAATCATGTTTTTGTTTTGATAGGAACAATTTTTCCAGCATTCCCATTAAGATTGTGGTTATAACAAAATGCCTGAAACGCTCACAATAAGTTACTGAATGCCATTCAGGTATTTTTGATCAGACTTTGTCTGAATAATTCCAAGAATAGTTGGCATATACACACTTTCAGCCTAAGCCAATCTTTTGTTTAAGCACTTCGCTTCTGGGAATTACCATTCGATATTGCTTGCTTAGAATCGATAATGTAATACCTTGGACACGTGTGAATTTACTAAAGTACAAAGAGAATGTGTAGATTATAAATAAACAATGGGGCATAAATATTGGCTGCGTTGCATTATATTTATAGTACTGGATTTCCGTTGGTAAATACGTGGTTCAGCAGCCTCCGCAGCTGTTTGTGTTATTAAGTTAAACATTCGAGTTAAGTTAGGTACTCAAATTAGTGCACTCCCACACAAAATTAGCTGAGCGTTATCGGTGGAGTGGAAACCTAGGGTAATGCGTATTACATACGCAGCTGGTCTTCAATTAAAAGTTCCGCCTTGTTAATTAACAATTAAAGGGAAAATCCGAGACGGTAATTCACTGAGTTCTCTGGCTTATAAAGCAGTTACACTTGGTTGCAATAGAGACGGCTACTCATAAATTTATAGGGTGTGCAGTCGATTTACATACTGCAGATCATTATAAAACATTTTCAGACATTAACAAGAACAATACACTTATAAAAAACAGAGCTTCAGACACAAAGTGATACGTTTACACAGATGCCTAACCTTTTATACCTTAAACTTAAGGATTTGCCTTGTAGCTAGTTTCTGGAACACCCTGTTTCTATTTGACATATTCTTGACAGTCAAACCTGAAGTAAGCTTAGCTTATTACATAAGCACTCGTTATTTACATAATTATTTTTTATTTACTCACGCTGGGCATTCGTTGTGTTCAGTACGTCTTGACAAAGTGTACAATCGAGTATATCGCTAGTAATAATTTGCATTTTTGCATTGGCCGATACCAAATAATTACAGTTAACACATCGATAATAGCCTTTGGCTAATTGGCACATTTGATGGGTACTAAAGAGAAAGCGGAAGGGTTATATACTGATGGGGTTATGGGTTGTAAGTTACTGGCACTGACAGTTGAATACTTTGATGTGGCGGCCCATTAACTTTGACATCCCGACAAACAACTGAAAAGTTGTTAAGTAGTTTCAAGTCCACCCAGAACCACGTGATCCAGGAACATGCAACCCAAGTTTGGTGGTCCCACGATGACATGTACTCGGTTTGCGGCATTCCACATGTACATATGTGTGTGTTGTTTGTGGAAACATATCATAGTTTTGGTGTGGGTGGGTGGCACACGGAGGAGGTGCGAATACCTATCCCTGTACATGAGGGCTTTCCGCGCACAATTTTCTCACAAGCTGTAAATACTTTTCTGTTGCCAGGGGATGAGCTTAGGGGCTGTTAAAGTTCCGGCTTGAATAAGGAATGTGTGTCTGTCTATGTACCTATGTGCGCCTCTATTGGGGCCAACCTTTCCTTCACAATTGAGTGGAAATGTATTATGTATTAGTTGTTATTATGACATGTAATTCACTTAATAATAGCTTATGTGGTATAACAGTCTCCTAAAAGTGTATTGTATCAAGAACGGGACTGTAAGGAAAGTAACTGCTGATATCTGCATAAGAAGGTCATGGATTTATCCCATATTCTTCGAATCAACTGCACCCACACCACATTATTATTCAGATGGATAAGCCGCACAGACCTTGAGCGAAGAGACAATTGTTATTGGATAAAACACTGGGAGCACACACCTACTGCGTCTTACTGTAGATATAGCCGTACATCAGCGTTATTATTATTATTGCCACCGTCCTATTGAATGTGGGTGAGGAAAATTGCGGAATAAAAGAGCGTTAATATTTAGCTTTAAACTCGCTCAAATGTCAAACGGCTCGTGACGAGATCTAAATATACATATACACGAGTTCACTTTCAGCTCCTTGGAGTGTGTTTGCTTGAGTTTCATTGTCAGTGGCATGGGTTTTGGGATTCGGATTGGGTTTGGGTTTGGGATTGCGAACCGAAATCGTGAAAATTGAGATGGGGCACAGCAGAAGCTGTTTGCATGGCCCGTTTGATAAACTCGCCTTTTGTCTGCCCATACAGAAAATACAAAGAAAACACAAAAAAACCGTGAATGTGGCACACAAACACATGCAAATGGGACCGCGCGTGGTCGTCTATATTGTCAGAATTGGAAGCTTCAGTGGGATTTATCAACTTTGGCCTATAAATAAACAAGCGGACGGCCTTAAATTTGATAAAGCTGAGTTCTTCTGCAGATTTTACTTTCGTTCTGAGAAAGTCTTGAAAGCTTTCGTCCAGATTCTCGTCTTACATTCAGTATCGTATAATTTTCATGACTATTTTTGGGCTGTATGACAAGTGATTTAAATTCACACTAATTGCTCGACCGGTTGCTCGTGGTTTCTAAGTTCTGAATATCATTTAGTCTGCCTATTAATTCAGTTGCTTAAAATAGCACACTTAAGTTGAAGTAAACAAGTGATTAGGCAGTCTCGCCTACAATAACTTATTGAGTATAAAGTATTTTGAAGCCATTAAACCATTTTTTCCCCCATTTGTAAATGACTCAATGACTTAAATGACCCAAGCATTTATCAAAAACTGTTTGACTCAGTCATACATACGTTTATAAATGAACTATAAAATTAGCAATAATTAGCTAATTCTGCCGGCCTGAAAGCCTCAAGTTCAAGTTATTGGCCATTGGAATACGAGCGCTTCCAGCGGCAACAAGGCCCCAAAAGCCAGAGGCATTCAACAGCTATTGAAAGCGGCAAAGTTCCATTCAATTCGCGGCAACGCTTTCCGCTTTCAATTCGCCATTCAACCGAAAACAGCTGAGACTTCGGCGACGCACGAAGCAGCAACATCAGTATCGGAATAAGTAGCTGTAGCTACGCCTGCATGGCATCGGATTGGCATCGGATGGGCATCGGATGGGCATCGGAATCGGAATCGGCAGTAACCGGCTGAAATAACTAGGAACGCGGCACCGAGCCCGCAGATTTATTCAGTTTACAACTTTCGCTTGAAACGGACGTGCGACTTTGTCCGGCAATCCGCGTTCGAGTGGCAAGCAATAGCGATACAAATAAATAATAATCAAACAGCCGAGTGCACAAAAGGCGCATAAAACAACAACTAGAAAATAACTTCTTATTTCCAAGTAAGAAACAAGTGAGACTTTCCCGGAAGTTCAGGGTTGTGGCTGCAGCAGGTCGCGAGATAATCTAAAGGAGATAAAAGCACATTTAATTATGGAAATTTTTCCTTTGTTCCACGGGCAGTCGGATTCCATTCTATTTCCAGTTTCTTATTACTTCAAGATAATTTTGCTCATTAGGCGGGCCCCAAAAGGAGCAATTTCTTTGCATTAAGCGTTGG